TGACCAGCATCAAAAAGACTAAGAACAACAAATGTTGGTGAGGATGCAGAGAAAGGGGAACCCTCCTACACTGCTGGTGGGAATGTAAGCTAGTTCAACCATTGTAGAAAGCAATATGGAGGTTCCTCAAAAAACTAAAAATAGAAATACCATTTGACCCAGGAATTCCAGGAATATACCCAAAGAAGATAACTTTTCAGATTCAAAAAGACATATGAACCCCTATGTTTATCACAGCACTATTTACAATAGTCAACATATGGAAGCAACCTAAGTGTCCATCAGTAGATGAATGGATAAAGAAGAGGTGGTACAAATACACAATGGATTACTATTCAGCCATAAGAAAGAAACAAATCCTACCATTTGCAACAATATGGATGGAGCTATAGGGTATTATGCTCAGTGCAGTAAGTCAGGCAGGCAGAGAAAGACAAATACCAAATGATTTCCCTCATTTGTGGAGTATAACAATGAAACAAAACTGAAGGAACAAAAATAGCAGCAGACCCACAGACTCCAAGGGACTAGTGGTTACCAAAGCTGAGCGGTGGGGGAGGGTGGGTGGGGAGGGAGGGAGAAGGGGATTGTGGCTTATCATGATTGGTGCACATGGTGTGCGTGGGGTCACGGGGAAGACAGTGTAGCTCAGAAAAGACAAATGAGACTCTGTGGCATCTTACTGCACTGATGGACAGTGACTGCAATGGGGTTGGGGGGAGACTCGATAATAAGGGTGAATGTAATAACCACATTGTTTTTCTTGTGAAACCTCCGTAAGAGTGTATATCAATAAAAAAAAAAAAAAAAAAGACCATAGGCTTTGAGTAGCCAGTGCTGGGAAGCTTCCCTGGGGATAAAAGCCTTTGAGAAGGGCCTTTACAGATGGGTAAGGTTTCAGCTATGCAGGTCAGGTGCAGTGGCAATAGAGGGTGCCAGCCTGCAGTTCTGAGCCTGCCTGGGGAGTTTGCAGGGGTTCCGCCCAGCATGCCCTCTTGGCTCCCTCTGGGGCTCTTTGGAAGGAACTCTATCTGCCCACAGCCTCTCCTGTGCGACTTCCTGGTTAGTGCTTATTGTGGGCTGAATAGTGGTCCCCAAAAGTATGCCAACATCCTAACCCCTGGTGCCTGTGAATGTGACACTTGGAAACAGGGTCTTTGCAGATGTAACTGAGCTAAGGACCGAGCACTGAGATCATCCTGGGTTTAGGGGGGCCCTAAATCCAATGACTGGTGTCATTATAGGGGACAGAAATGGGAAGACTCAGAGAAGAAAGCCATGTGAAATGGAGCACAGATTGGGGTCACACGGCCACAAGCCAAGGGGCGCCAAGGGTTGCCAGCAGCCACAGGAAGCAACTGCAGCGCAGAACCAACTCTCCCTCGGAGCCTCCAAAGGGCACCCACTTGTCGGCACCTTGGTTCTGCACTTCTGACCTTAGCTCAGCTCGGGGGGCCATGACAAGGTACCATGGAAGTCTGCGATCAGGGTGTCGGCATGGTCAGGTTTGGGGGCAGAGGGCCTCTTGCTGGCCTTCTTGCTGTGTTCTCACATGGCAGACAGAAAAAGAGCTTTCTGGTGTCTCTGCTAAAGGGCACTGATCCCGTTATGAGGACCCCACTCTCATGGCCTCATCCAAACCTAAGTTCCCAAAGGCCCCATCTTCAAATACCAGCATATCGAGGGGCTTGGGCTTCAATATATGAAGTTTGAGGGAACGCAATCCAGCCCAAAGCAGGCCTCCAGAAATGAAGGCAGTGGCTGCGGAAGGACTCACAGGTGGAGAAGAGGCCGTGATCAGGATGGCCGGTGGCCATAGGCAGGGGGCAGACAGGGTCTTCTGGGGGCAAGAGTTGGAGAACTCAGGCTGTAGGAAGATCACCTTGGGCAGCAGTGACTGGAACATGGGCAGCGGTGGGGTCAGACCTGAGCCAGCAGTAAGGAGATGTGTGCCTGGAGAATCCAGGCAGCAGGGGACAACATCCAGCAGTGGAGCATGGGCAAGCCGGGCAGAGGAGGAGGGAAGGGGTGGAGGACAGAGCTTCAAGTGGGTATGGCTGAGGAAGTGGAGGCAAGCTAGTGCTGAAGCAGTAGCCATGGGGGAAATGGCTTGAAAATGGTGGCTTGAGAAGTAGGGAGCCCAGGATTCAAGGCAAGACCCAAGACCGTTGTGTGGGGTGGGAGAACCTGCCGGGCAGCCACTCGTGCTCCTCCGCCTGGCCCTCAGGCTCCAGGATGGGTACCATGGCAGTGCTGTCGGAGGCCAGAGCCAACCCCGGCTGCCTCCGTGCTGCCTGCAAGATCTCTTGCGAACAACCCCCTCCAATTTGTTTAGTATGATTTATGATTTTTAAAAAGCCCAGTTCTGACAACCTGAGGAACAAGAAAGAAGACTCAGGGACTTGAGCTCTGAATGATTTCTGCTTCCATATTCAGTCTGCAAAGCCAGCAATATTTACCGTCTGGGTTCCAGCTCCACAATGCTCCTTATTTCCCAAGAAGTCATCCTGCTCTCAGACACACCCACCGATAAAGCGACATGGGGCAGGCCAAGGCTGGGTGGGCCTCAGCAAGTACCTCTAGGCAGGCATCCCAGTGCTCCTGCCTCTTTTCGCAGTGCATGGCCTTCTGGAGCCCAGGCCTTACCTAAGGGAAGAGATTCCAAAGATGAGTATCTTTGGCTTGGTGACAGATTGATGAAGCAGATATTTAGGGGCCGATGGAGCTACACATTGTAACAGTGTTGTGTCCACTCAGGCCAGCTCTTCTGGCTTCTAGGACCAGGAGCCTTGCTTTTGGGGGAGAGATGGGTTATTTGATGTAACAGAAACAGGACAAGAACAGACGTTAGGAAACCAGGTTTGTTGCTAACTGGCTCCGTGACCTAAGGGAGGACATTTCTCTGATCTGTAGTTTCCTTACCCTAGAAATGAGGAGAATGGAAATGATTTTTAAGTTCCTTGTCTGAATCAATAGTCAGTCCTGGGAGTGGCCAAGCAGCAGACTTTTTTTTCCTTCTAATTTTGGTAAAATATATATAACATGAGACTTAACCAATTTTTGACATTGTTTTCCTTCTTTATTTTACTTTTAATTGTGAAATATACATAACATAAAATTTACCTTCTTAACCATTTTTTTATTAAGGTATCGTGATATACAGTCTTATGAAGGTTTCACATGAGCAACATTGTGGTTACTAATTTACCCATATCAGTGAGTGCCGCACCCTCGCCCCATTGCAGTCACTGTCCGTCAGCGCATAGTCAGATACCATCTTAACCATTTTTAAGTGAACAACTTAGTGGCATTAAGTACATTCACAATGTTGTGAAACCATCACCACCATCCATTTCCAGACTTTTCTATCATCCCAACCTGAACCTCTACCCATTAGGCAGTTACTCCCCCTCCCCCCAAACCCTGATAACTATTCTACTTTCTGTTTCTATGAATTGGTCTACTCTAGGTACGTCATATAAGTGGAATCATACAATATTTGTCCTTTTATATCTGGTTTATTTCACCTACCATGTTTCCAAGGTTGATCCACATTGTAACACATATCGGAATTTCATTCCTTTTGAAGGCTGAATTGTAAGTATATTCCATTGTAAGTATATGCCACATTTTGCTTTTCCTTTGAGGGACATTTGGGTTGTTTCCCTTGTTTCCACCTTTCGGCCATTGTGAATAATGCTGCCATGCACATTGGCCTGTAAGTATGTGGTCAAGTCCCTTTCACTTCTTTTGGGAATATATCTAGCAGTGGAATTGCTGGATCATATGAAAATTCTATGCTTGTTTTTTAAGGAACCACCAAACTTTTACCCTTTAGTTTAGTCTAAAATGAAGGCACTCAGACCTCCCATGTGTGTGATAGGGAATCCCACAGAGAAATAAATTGAAACCCCCGGGGTTCAGACAGGCCACTTGGCTGTGCATTCAGGGCTCTCTCCCAGTACTGGTGTCAGCTGGACATGTTCTGATGGCCATTATTGAGCCCAGGGCTGCACATTTTCCAGTTCTGGGGCGAACTATATTGTGGTGGAAGGTGGCTATGGAGAAAAATAATTTTCTCTCCTATTCACTTGTCCAGAATTTTAGAAACAGTGACGTTACGTGCACACATTTCTGTTTTCATTGATAGAACTGGAACCCCCACACAAGACCAGGATAAGGATCAGGGGAAAAAAGAGCAGACAGAAAGATGGCTGACACGAAGATGGATGCCTCAGAAGCACTGGTCAGAGTTACAGAATGACCTAGAGGAGCTGGGGTGCTGGGGGACCAAGTAGGCTGGTAAACTGACCCAGCCTGGAGCTGCTTTGAACCCAGGTTTGTTCTGGCTTCAACCCTCAGTTCTTGTACTTGCAAGGCTGGGCAATGAACATGCTAGCAAGATTAGCAACCCACCTCAAGTTCAGTTTCCTCATTTGTAAAATAGGGCATAATGAGAGTTAAGGGGTGAAATAAAGCTCTGTGTATGAGATGATTCCCACAGGGCTTGGCACTCACCCTTAATACAGGTTAGGACCTGTTTTCCCTCAAATGCTGAACATCAAATTCAGGTGCTATGTTAGACTGGGAAACCCTTCTGTCACTTCCCAGTTCTAGGAATCTACTTGAAAACATGGGTTTTGATGCAGTTTTCAGTTTGGTGGCCATTTCGGAACTTAACTGTTGCCTTTCCATTGCTTTCTTTTTCTCCAAGTCAAATGCTTTATCTTTTTGGGACTGTTATAAGGGCCTTGCCTACTAGGTACAAAACTGGATTTTAAACAAAAGATATATTCTTTGCTCACAGGAAAGCAGGAAAGTTAAAAACAAACCAATAGAAAACTCCAGTTATTCTGGGTAACACTGTTCCAGATGCCACTGGAAATGAATACTTTTGTAGTGGCCCCATTTCATTTGCTGAAAGGGTTCACTCTTCGGGCAGACAGAGCAGGATGGAAGGGAGAAGCAATATGAAAACACTTTGAAGTTACAACCTTAGGTAAGTGTAAATCATTATTATTAATCATAAATACAGGAAACTAACTATTTGATCAGTGAGCTTGTATCCAAGCAGACAAATCTGCCTGTCTTCCCTGCCTTGCTGTGTCCTGCCTAGTGCTGGGGCAGAGGCAGGCGCAGCTCAGCTTTCTGCTCATCCTTGTTGGTTTAATTCAATGAGCCGACCTGCAAACACAGCTAGGGTTCCGATGATACAGACGAGCATGAAGACCCCAAGGAGAATGTGATCCATCACCATTGCAACATATTTCCATTCCTCAGCGGCCTGGGAGAGAGGGAAGTGTTAGAATTTCCTTAAGAGGGTCATTAGACTCACAGTGTTTATGCTGTGCATCTTCTATGGCCCATTCAATTTGCAGACCTCACAGCCCTCCACATCCCTTGGCTGGCATTTGATCTTTATTATCTTAAATAGATTGTTCACAGTGTGATGATTTACTAAGGTGGCTTAAAGGCAGTCACCAAGATGTACTGATCTACATCTTAGGCCAGCAGCTGCCTCTTGAATGCCAGCCAAACCCGTCAAGCGAAACCCATCCATTTGCACTCAAGCACGGGATCATTTACACCCAGAGGTGTGGGTTTCGAGCCACAGAGCTTACGTTATTGGACTCCTGGTCTGACTTCATGGTCTCTGCGATGTACTTGACTCCCTCAATGGCACTTTTCACCTCGGGATGTTTGATTAGGGGAGAGTGGAAGCCCATCGGTGCAGGCCCCGGCTTCCCAGAAATGTCAGAAATATCAATGTCTTCTGTGAAAATCTTTTTGTCCTGTTTTTCTCTGGATGGTCTTTTCATTGTGGAGAAGAACATGACATTTGGGATAGTGTCAATAAAAACCTAACATAAAAAGAAATCCATGTATGAGAATTATCACCAGCAAGACAAACATCAGCTCTGACTTTGAATTACAATGTGACTTTAGGCAAGTCATTCACCGTCTCTGGGACTCCGCTTCTTTGTTCTTAAAACAAAAGGACTCTCCTAGATTTTCTGTTTTCCTCCATACATATCCTGTAGCCTGTCCAATTACTTCGGCTAACGGTAGGATTCTGTAATATGAGGATCTCACCACTGGAGGGAGCCCGTGCGCGGCTACTGACATTAAAAACAAAAAACATAAGCTTCCAGACCTCTATAGGTAACTTCTTTCAAGGCAATGTGTGGTCATCGACTGGTTAAAGAAAGGCCTCCTCTGCTAAAAAATATATACAGCTCCAGCCCCACAAAACAGCAAGACTGTTCTCTTTCATTTCTTGTTCCTGAAGAAATGCAACGCAAGTATTGCCAGGGCTCACTCAACAGTATAGAAACGGACTGTTTCTCTCCAAAAAGGATGCATTGAAAGCAGTAGTTTTTCTGTCAATCCCTGACATAGCTTTTGTATTCTGCACAATAGACCCTGTACATTAGCATCTCTGTGAAGTTTTAGCAGAAAACTGCCATATTTGAAATGTAACACATTTTAAATTTCAATTATGAAAATATTTGAGACCAAGTTCCTCACTAAAACTCACTTTTTGACAATCTCTCATCAAGCCCCTCCATTTCTAGCCTTTATTCTATTCCAGGCAGATGATTCTACCAGCAGAAAATAAGCAGTCTGTGCACAAACTGGAAGGCATACAAACAGAAATCTCCAGAATTTCACAGCATTTGAGTTAAAAAAGACAGTGGTTTATTCATCTTCTCTAATCAAAGAGATTCTCTAAGCTTGAATTTAGAGTGGGCTTGTTAATTCTGGTTTTCCTCTCTTTCCATGAGTTATTTATCCTGCATAGTTTAGAAAAGACACTCAGTTCCTAAGTACCTGCAAGTGTCAGCCTGAATTCCCCTGGCCACATGGGAGGAGAGACCTGTAGATGCCTCAAGAGAAAGGATCCTCGTGCAAAGTTGCAAGGGCTTGCTGCTCACCTTCCGCACCCACTCTGGCATGACGTGGGTGCTGGGGGAGCGGTGGTGTGTGTTGATGACGATGACGGTGATGATGATGGATGCGATGACAAACACCATGGTGAAAAGCATGTATTTGCCAATCAACGGCACGGCACTGGAGGTGGAAGGGATCAGCTCCACAATGACCAGAAGGAACACGGTTAAGGAGAGCAGGACAGAGATGCTCAGAGTCATCTTCTCTCCTAGACAAAATGAAGAGGAGACACAAAAACCTGCCTGTTATGGGCTGAATTCTTGCTCCCTCCAAATGTGTATGTTGATGTCCTAAGCCTCAGCACCTCAGTGACTATTTGGAAGGGGCCTTTACAGAAGTAATTAAGTTAGAGTGAGCTCATTATGGTGGGCCCTCATCCAATATGACTGGATTAGGACACAGATCCACACAGACAGGAAAGATCATGTAAAGACACAGGGAGAAGACTGCCATCTACAAGCCAAGGAGAGAGGCCTCAGAGGAAACTGACCCTGCTGACACTTTGATCTCAGACTTACAGCCTCCACAATCATAAGAAGATAAATTTCTGTGGTTTAAGCCACCTAGTCTGTGGTGCACTGTAAGGACAACCCCAGCAAACAAATACACCACCCAAACCCAAGAGTGACAGGAATGTGACTTGCATGTTCTCAAAGCATCATTCTGGGGAAATTTTTTGGCAGAATTTCCTCTGAGACTTTGGCACCTTAACTCTGCTGACAGTGGCAAGTGGCAAGCATTTCCAATAGAGACTGCCAAGCCAGAAATTATGCTCCACATCATGCCCCAGAATGCCATTTCTTGGTGGAACCCAGGGGACCAAGTTATGCCAAGCTGGGCAGCAGTTTTCCTGTCTGCAGCAGAATGTCATAAACCTTACAAAACTGAACTGCAACATGGCCTACTTGTTACACAGCAGATATGCACTGGACGGGCAGCCCAGAAATACACGTATAATTTGCTCATTATGGGAGTGAGCTTCAAGACCAAAACAGAAAAGGCCAAAAATCAAAGATTTTACATCACTTTTTCACATTAATCTAGGAGGATGATTTTTTCCTTGTATTGTTTTGTTTTTCTTATTAAGGGACCAGATTACCTGCCCCCACCTCTTTTCTCTAAGCCCTCTTATTTTGGGGGGACAGTTCCCCCTTAGAATTTTGGTATGGCAAGCAAGATGGGCAGGGGCTGAGTGGCACAGGAATATTTTCAAGGGGATAGCCCTTCAGATGCAGTAGAGAACCTTTGGAAGGGACTTCCCTTGTGATAATCTTGGTTTGTGTGTCCTGGAAAACCCTTGTGCTACCCTGCTTTCCAGTGTGGAGCTTTCTGTCATACTGGATGCTTCCACATGCTAGAAGTATGTAAAGAATACAGAGCAGATGTACACAGAAATGATCTATTTTGCCTCATGGGTAGAATTCTACCTAGTGAGTTGGAAAAGAAGTGAAAAAGAAGACAATGATAAATATGAACTACTGATCAAGTTAATCAAATTTCTCAATTAGCAATAATGATACTAATAATAGCTAATGTTTGTTGAGCAGTCTCACTGTTCTTTTCAAGGGTGAATCATGTAATATTTATAGAGACTCTGATTATTTTCCATATTGCCCTGACTAGTGTTTTCTCTCTTCACTTCAAGAAGCTTCATTTGATAGAGTGTTGAAAAATATATTTGTTTGTGATCATTTAAGAATCAGTACAATCACTAGAACATGCATTCTGTGGAACAAATTCTGCCTTATTTATTCTCTATGTATCCCTGCCATGTAACAGGTGTTTAACAATATATGTTGAATGAGTGAATGCATAACCTTTTTTTCCTTATTGGAAAGTTGGTCTTAGACATTTATGAGTTTTTAAAATCACTCTGATGAAATTTTTACCTGTTATAAGTTCGCCTTTCCCCCTACTTGTCTACCCTAAATTGTTTATGAGCAGTGACTTGCTGGCAAGCATGTGTGTACCTTTCCCCCTCTTCCTGTAGATGGCTGGTATTTGGTGAAATTATGTCACAGATGTGATTACTCTGTAGGAGGTTAAGTTGTCTGGGCTGATATGTGGGAAAGAATTGCCACTTGGGAAGTATATAGTCTTGTATATAAAGATACTGACATCTGGAAAACGGATATGCAAAAGAAATTTTCAAGGGGCAGGCAGTGAGCAAAATAGTTCTGTGCGTCTTCAGGGTCCCCTCCGTCTGCCTGCTCTGTAGTCTGCTCCCACTGTGCACTCCCCCCACAGTGACTTTCATCACTGCTCATGCCACTCAGTGCATGCATCCTCCTAGTGATGATGATTTGGGTCTGTCTGGCTGCATTTATTTATGAACCCATGATTAGTTCTGGCTTTCCCCCAAAGCAGCAGGATGAGACCTGACAGCATCAGCAGCAGCTGCCATGGCAACCACTGCACCCACCTGAGTCTGTGGGCAGGTAGAACACCAGGCCGGTCAGGAAGGAGAAGAGCAGGCAGGGAACGATGACGTTGACAATGAAGTACAGGGGCAGGCGCTGCATGACGAAGTGGTAGGTGATGTCTAGGTAGGGCGTGGAGGGGCAGCACGCGTAGAACACCCAGTGCTTCCAGCCCCGGGACTCCTTGATCACCCACTCCCCACTCTCCATGAATCTGCTCAGGTCTGGCTGGTCGCTTTCCTGAGAGGAGGAAATGAAACTGTGAAAGCCCAGCCATGCCAGTCTGAGGAGAGGCAGGGCTCTGTGGTCAGCTGTGACACGGCAACAGATTCCAGTGCTGTCATATTCCCAGGAGGGACTCTGGGTCTCTCCCACTTCTGGGCCTCAGGTTCCCTTCCCCCACGGCTTCGTCACTGGGAAGCTCCATGTTGACTACACATGTGCATCACCTGGGGGCTTTAAAAGAATGGGGGTTCCGCGGCACCCCCCGACCCCACCTGAGACTGATGAGCCAGAATTCTCAGCACTGAGCCTGGGCGTAGGGAATGCATTTACTCTCCCAGGTGGTTCTCAAGCGCAGCGCGTCAAGACCCTTCCCAACCAGCCGAGACCCTCACGCGCGAAGCCCGAGCCTCTGGTTATGGAGGGGCGGAATGGGAGACCCGAGTCCCACGTCATCACAGGAGGGCGCCACCTACCGGGTTGATGGCCACCACGGAGCCATCGTAAGTCCAGGTGCCCAGCTTCATGCTGCAGTTCTGCTCGTCAAAGGGAAAGTGGGTGACGATGATCTCGCAGTAGCTTTTAAAGATGGCTGGCGGAGTCCACGTGATGTGGCCTGTGTGGTCCAGGAGCACTTTGGTGAACTTGACAATGGCGAAGTCACCGTCTGCACTGCAATCGGGATAAAAGAGGGTCATGGCTCCAGGTGAGGGGTGGTGACAGCAGAAGCCTTCTGGGAAGTGCCGCTTTTATCCATGGCAGTGTTTTCGAGATTTGTCTGATAGTTAGAATCACTGGGGTGCCTGTTTAAAATATAGATTCCTGAGCACCAGTGAAGCACTGTATCAGAATTCTTCAGGGGAGGAATCCTGAAATTTATAGTTTTACAGAAACAGCAGGTAACACTGAGCGACTGAGTCTGGATTTTGCTCCTCACAGTCCTCAGTAGCATTTGTACTGTTAACCTCCATCTATCTCCTCCCTCATGTACTTTGAAAGTTAACTGGGGGAAAAAAAACCAGGAATTTTTAATAAAATCTTGTCCAGTGACTCATTATTGTGACAGGCAGGTTAAGGAAGGAGTCTACCACTTTTTAAGAACTATTCAGAGCTCAGAGGGGTAGGGTCACCAGTAGGGACGCCTCCAGGCCAGGCAGCGAGGCCCCTGGTGGGGTTGGAGGGGTGACTGGAGAGCCCCTCACCCTCCATCAGCTCTGCTATGGTGTCCTGTGGGAGTGGAGGCCCAGTGCTGCTAGTTATTTGGATTCTTCCTCAGAAGCTGAAAATCTGGATTTTTAAACCCAAAGTTTCCATGTTTCTTAATGTTGGGTTTTTCTAGAGACTAAATATTCAGATTTTAATGTGATATTTTCCAATTTTCAATTATTGGCACTAATTTCTTAATTTAAAAAATCTAATATGGTAGACACTAAAATAACAACAGGCGTCTTTTGCAGGCCTTATTCAGTGGGTAGGCCACTTGTCCTGCAAAGTGCCTGTTCCAGGGGCCTTGGCCAAGAGCAAGACATTAGAATAGGTGCCCCGCAGGTGGGTGGGGTCTGCCTCCATAGGCTTCCAGGAAACATGGCATCTTTGGTGTCTCACTTCCTAAATCAAGAGATTTTCTTCCCATTGACTTTTCCTTGGGATGCACTCTATCAGTTGGACCTGCCCAAAAAAGCAGAGGGCTACAGATTAAGTCCCTGCCTATAAGTAAGTGGAACAGGGTTCTCTCCCCACCAGGGGGTTGTTGAGTGAGCTTGTCAAAAGGACCAGAGGATTTTAACTGCTTCCCTCAGATTCTTAATGAGAGAGAAACCTAACTAACACGAGACACTCTGCTCTATCAGCGTATTTGTCTGAAAAGGTTACACAAGTGATTGGATAATTTGGCTCAAGCTTGAATTCCAGGTATAGTCTGAAAATATGTAGTAGAGAATCAGAGTGGGGAGGGTTGGCCTTAAAGGGTATCATTTCTGTTTTCACTAGCCCCCGCTGCCTTCCCACAGAGTCTGCTCAGAAGCACAGCCTGCTGGCCCCAGACACACGCTACTTAACGTTAGACTGCAATCCTCCAGGCCAGTGTTGAGTGCTCGTGCCTGTGAAGGATGCTCTTTGAATGAGCATTCCCTGACAGATGAAGGGCATATGATGATGAACCTGTAAACCGAGTGTCTTGAATCACACTCCAGTCTCGTCTCACAGCATGCACTGTGTCATGGAGCCCAGCGGCTGGGCCATGCAGGCATCCCGGGCCATCAGCAGCTGTGGTGTCTTGGGATGCCATGAGCATGTGATGAATAACAGCCCTGGGAGGCTCAGGCCTGTGGTAGGAAGGACAATTAATTCCAAGGAACTCAATCATACAAAGTTTGGGTTCCTTGGATAGTTGCCATATATACTTCAGGAGCTCTCTGGGATTAAATGTCCCCCACCCCACAGCCCTAACTCAATTTGGCTTCGTTAATTGTTTCTATTCATTAACATGAGACACCATATGGCACCCCTAGCATGTCAACTTGGCTCTTGGATTTTGAGGGTTATTTAATGTGAACAGTGGTGAGCAGCAGAGCGGCGGCCTTTCCATCAGCGCACTTTGTTTGACTCACCTGCCCCTGGAATGCCCCACCACCACCCGCCTGTTTTGCTTACTTGTTATAGAGAACGAGGTCTGGGCGCCAGATCTTTTCTGAGGGAATGTGAATCTTTTTCAGGCCGCCATAGTTGTCTGGATTCCATTTTAGGTTGTAATCCACCCATTGCTAGAAATAAACATAATTAGCCAATTAAAAAGCTAAACACATTTTTAAAAATCTAGGGTTATCTAGAGTTCTGATGGGGTGATAATTCAGATATTGACAGAAATTGTGCTCCAGTAAGAAAGGTGTGATTCAGAATTTGGCTTTCACTTTAGTGACTAGCAGCAAAACTTACATATCACTGACTAAATGCAGGGGCTGTCGAAGCGTTCGGCCTACATTCATCATTTAGTCCTCACAGCAGTCCTGTGAGGGAAGAGCGAGCCCTGACCCTGTGTGCAGATGATAAAGAAAAGGCACCCCCAAGTCACACCACCACAGGTGGCAAATCGCCGAGCCCCATGGCCCGCCCCAAGGAAGGAGAGTGACCCTACAGCGAGCATTTTCCTCAAGGAGGAAACATCATTTTTTAAGTTTTTTTTTTCCTACATTATAAAAGCAATATATGCTCAATGTAGCAATTTAGATAACACAATGTGCTGGATTGAACTGAGTCTCCCCAAAATTCATATGTTGAAGCCCTAACCCCTGGTACCTCAGAAAGTGATCTTATTTGGAAATAGGGTCTTTAAGAGGTTATTAAGTTAAAATGAGGTCATTAGGGTGGACTCTAATCCAGGATGACTGGTGCCCTTATGAGAAAGGGATACTTGAAACCTAATACATATTCCGGAAGAAAGCCACGTGAAAGCGCAGATGGCCAACCCTGAGCAGAGGGGCGAGGCCTGGAGCAGATGCCCCCTCACAGCCCTTAGCAGGTTCTGCCAACACCTTGAGTTTTAGACCTTTGGCCTCAAGAACTATGAGACAATGCTTTTGTGTTGTTTAGACTGCCCAGTTGGTGGCTTTGTTCTGGCAGAAAAAGCAGCGAACACCCACTAACATCCATGAAGCATAAGCCCACTACCCCAAAGTATTTACTTCCAACATTTTGGTACCTATCCCTGTTCGCCAAGTTGATTTCCTCTGGGCCCTGGTTAAATTTCTGGGTGAATACAAACAACATAAGTGCAATTATCTAGGTGAATTACCTGTTTTAGTCGAACATTGGTTGTTACGATCTGATTTACTTCATCCTGAAAGAAGATAAGACCCCACCTTTAGGAGGTAAAAGGGGAGTGGGGGGAAGGGTGCTCTGGGGTGAGAGGTGCAGGTGCCATGGGGAACCTGGAGTGCTCTTGTCTCACCACATTGATGAGCTGTATCAGCTGCAGACCCACGGTAACCTCCACAGCCTGGCGGTGATCTTCCACCGGCCGTACGACGCTGTTGTAGTTTTCAAATAGCTTTCCCACCAGACGGGTCTCATGTTCAGAGCCCAGGACAAGGCCAGCTGAGATGGCAAATGACACACACTGTCAGATTCTGCTCCCCACCTTCCACACACAAGAATGTGAGTAACTGAGGTGTGAGCAGTGAAGGGAGGGTATGCAGGCCCCCATGTTGAAGGGCTCCTGCATGCAGCTTTTGTGCCTTTTCTTTCTAAGCACAGCTGTGGGTGTGGCCCTTCCCAGAGGGATGTGCCAGATGGTCATCACACTTGTGCTTTGGACAGATGAGATTCCTTAATACAGCCTCTGGCTGCATCAAGTGTGCTAGGGACATGCACACACACGAGAAGAAAGATCCACACAAAGCCAGCCTCAGTATTTCAGTCTGGCATGGTGGAATGAAATCTTGGATGGATTTCATTACTGGACTCAGATCTCAGGATGGTATGAAGAGCCAAAAATCAATACTGGTTCACACCTACTAGGATGGCCATAATTAACTACATTGAAAGTGACAAATATTGGTGAGGTTATGGAGAAACTAAAACCCCCATAATGTTGCTGGTGAGAATGTAAAATAGTGAAGCTGCTGTGGAAAACAGTTTGGCGGTTCCTCACACATATGACCTAGCAATTCCACTCCTGTGTACGTCCCCCAAAGAATTGATCACACAAGCACTTGTTTACAAATATTTATAGCTTCACCATACATAATAACTAAAAGATAGAAATGATCCAAATGTCCATCAACAGATAAATGATGAACAAATTGTGGTATTTTCATGAAGTGGAATGTTATTCAGCCATGAAAAGGAATGAAGTATTAATATGTGCTACAACATGGGCAAACCTTGAAAACATTATGCTAAATGAAATCAGACACAAAAAAGCACATATTGTATAATTCCATTTTTATGAAATATCAAGAATAGGTAAATCCATAGCGACAGCAGATTTGTGGTTACCAGGGACCAGGGGGACAGGGGAATTGGGAAATGACTGCTAATAGAACAGGATTTCTTTTTGGGGTGATGGAAAATTCTGGAACCAGATATTAATGATCATTGCATAACATTGTGAATGTATTTAATGTCACTAAATCACATATTTTTAAATTGTGATTTTATGTAATAGGTATTTTACCATGGAAAATTTTATGTAATGTGTAGTTCACCATAATTTTAAAAATATCACTATTGGTGAGTATGTCCCAGTTAAGTTGTTAAGATGTGCTTTGCTGACCTAGGTTTGGGGCTCCTGTTTGGAGCACTAATGATTCTAAGGAGCCTTTACTACATTTTCCTTCAGGTTGAAGAGCAGCAGCATCTAGTGCTCTCAGAGCCCTTGGCCCTTTTATGTCCAGTGTTATGTGGTCCTCACCAGCTCCCGAGAGGCAGGTGTGCAGGCAGACATTTCCACCTGAGATGCTGGGCAGTCAGATGCCTCCTTGTCCAAGGCCACACAGCAGTGCAGAGCCTGGATGGGAGCCCTGTCATTCCGTGTGGGCTTCTGCAGTGACTCTTAATATTATGAGTGTGCTGTGGGCAGCCCCGGGAAGTCTACCACTGCATGTACCATAATTTCTATGAGAAAAGGGTTCCAAATTCCAACAAGTGCCTTATGAAGGCATCTTTGTAACTCAAGCCTTATATGGACTGGGGATTGTCTCTTCAGGGTTGGGAGAGGAAATAGATACATGACCCATTTACCCTGAACCAGATCTCCTCTTTCTGGGGTTACTACTGAAACCACCATACCTTCTCCCTGGGCCAAGAAAACTTTAAAAATTGAATGAGTGAGATGCTCTCCCTTTTTTCCTTGGTAGTGTTAACCTATTGCCTGTAAGATAACCTGTACGAAAGGTTATTATTTTTCTCCTTGGATCCTGAGTTTGGAGGAGATTTTCTGAAAAAAATAATTTTTAAGTAAAATGTAATTGCTTTTTCTATTTTTATTAATCAGTAAAAATAATATCCAACATATCCAACTTGTTATGAGCCAGACACTCTTCTACATGCTTTATATATATAAACTAACTCTTCCAAACCTCATAACCAGGTATGGTAACTACTGTAATTGTCCTCACTTTATAGATGAGGATACTGAGACAGAGAGAGGGTAAACGACTTTCCCAGATTTCAGGAGGGGTGGAGTCAACATTCAAACCCAGAGCCCAGGCTCTCAACCACTATTTGTCACCCAGAGTTTTAGATTAGCTTAAACTGATCATGCAGTGGGTTGGAACATTTTTATCCCCCCAAAACAATGCCTTTTAATCCATATGTAGAGCTTTATTAAAGGTCATACATTTGTACTATCTCATTGAATACAGGCAGTAAGTCTTTTACTCCTACTTTAAAAATGAGAAAACTCAGGATTGGACAGATGAACAATGTATTTATGGTGCCCAGCTATTTGAAGGCATGGTTATAAGTGGAAGCATCCTGACATGAGGACCTGTGCTCCTCAACACCTCCCTGAAGGTAAATGTACCATTCCCATTTAGATTTTTTAAAATTTATTTTGATTTATTTTAATATTTTATTTTATTGTATTGTATGGTATTGTATTGTATTTTGGTTTCATTAATATACAATTACATGAGCAACATTGTGGTTACTAGGTTCCCCCCATTATCAAGTCCCCACCACATACCCCAATATAGTCACTGTCCATCAGCATAGTAAGCTGCTATAGAATCACTACTTGTCTTCTCTGTGCTGTACTGCCTTCCCCATGCCCCCCCCCGCTATATTATGTGTGCTAATCATAATGCCCTTCATTCCCCTTCTCCCTCCCTTCCCACCTACCCTCCCCAGTCCCTTTCCCTTTGGTAACTGTTAGTCCATTCTTGGGTTCTGTGATTCTGCTGCTCTTTTGTTCCTTCAGTTTTTGCTTTGTTCTTATACTCCACAGATGAGTGAAATCATTTGATACTTGTCTTTCTCTGCCTGGCTTATTTCCCTGAGCATAATACCCTCTAGCTCCATCCACGTTGTTGTGTTAGGATTTGTTTTCTTCTTATGCCTGAATAATACTCCATTGTGTATATGTACCACATCTTTTTTATCCATTCATCTACTGATGGACACTTAGATTGCTTCCGTTTCTTGGTTATTATAAATAGTGCTGCAATAAACATAGGGGTGCATCTGTCTTTTTGAGACTGGGAAACTGCATTCTTAGGGTAAATTCCTAGGAGTAGAATTCCTGGGTCAAATGGTATTTCTATTTTTGGTTTGTTGAGGAACCTCCAAACTGCTTTCCACAATGGTTGAACTAGTCCATTTAGATTTTTGAAGCATTCAGTGTAGATTAAGTATATTCATTATGACCTTCCTGGACTCTATGTAGGGAACCCCTGACCTAGCCTACCTCTTCATTTCTTGTCTCCCAAGTTTTCTGAACCCAAAAGCGTCCATGCAGAGTTTTCAAATGGCACCTTCCCCATACCATCTGCTCTTGAGGGCCCTTCAGGGGAGGTGTTATCCAAAGACTCAGCTTTTGTAATCACCCCATTGAGCCCCTGGGACATGGCAATCCTCTGTCCTCCACACCTGCTATCCTGCACCCCGTCATGATGGTCACTTATTTTTAAGTGACTGTGTATTCCAGTTTGACAGGAAGAAGATACTAGAAAGCAGCAGATAGAGCAGATTATCCATATAATCTAGCAGGAAAGCTGTGCAACCTAACCCTCCCATCCACTGGGGAGAAGTGGGGGAGCAGGCATGGCCAGTATTCCAGTGACATCCACTTCCTCCTCTCCCACCCTTGCCAGTAACAAGGGGCCTGGTTCCTTCTGTAATGTATTTCTAAGGAATTTCCAAGCAGGTGTCCATCTCTTAGATTAGATTTGTTGGTATTCCTTCTTCCTTCTCAAAGCAGGGTGAAGTGTTAGAAAACTTAATAGAACTTGAAGTCAGAATTCTATGATTCTATTCCCAGCTCCAATATGGTCCAGAGAGTTGGACTGTTTCTTCATTGACCAGTGAATCACAGTTAATATCTTCTTAAACAGGCAGTGTGTAAATTAAAAAACATATAGATAAACAAATAAATAATGTCAGTTTCCCTTTTCAGCAAAACCATGTAGGTAATCCTTACTCAGATGACTGTAGCATTAATTCATTAGTCAAATGTTTATGGATCATTTACTGTGTGCAAAGCATTGTTTTAAGAACTGAGTTATTCCAAGGTGAAACTGACATGAATCTTTTCTTTCCACCCTCATGGAGGTTGGCATTTGTCGTTTACATAAATTACTTTGAACAATTTGAAAACTAATATGCCTTAAAAAAAAGGCAGCAATGAAGTACTTGGGATTTCAGAGATGGAAGAGAGGAAAAGGTTGTAATGAAAGGTGCTATATTAGTAGGACAGAGACCATTACATGTTAAGCTACCACAGGAGAAAATGTACTGATATGAAGGAGAATTTTGCCCATAAAGGACTGATTCTAAGTAGGGGAACCCAGCCACAATTTCAAAATTTTCTTTTTGTAACTCTGATTCCAGTCTATATTTTTATGTAGGAAACTGCCTGCTGGATTGGGCAAAAGGAATTCTGTACTGTTACTAATCACCTTGGGCAATCTCAATCTCAGCGGATGCTGTATCTCTTGCTACCCTTGGCAATCTCAGGCTGGGTTTCCTGACTTCATGTAACAAATGAAGTCTCCAACTGATCACATCCCAAAAGTTATAAATCAAGTGACCTCAGGCAGGTTAGTTCAAATCTTTCAGCCTCAGTTTTTCTACAATAAAAAATTGAAATTGTTGGACCACCATGTGAATCGATACCATTGAACCCTAGGTTCAATCTAAATACATATAACATGCTTTTAAAAAATAGCCAAACATGCATTTTTGGAGGTCTTTGATGTCATAAGAGATATTTTAAAGATTTTTATATGTAAGTATACCACTTAAGAGTTTTCATTGGTTGTAGTGTTTGCACATACACACACACACACACACATATACACATTACCACCACCACCACCACCACCAGTATAGCTTTGGTTGGATCAAGTCCAAATCCCGCAGGATATGATTTGTCTGACTTTAGGCTATTTCTCTCAACTCTGCTTTTGAAAAACTTTAATAACAAAACTCCCTACCGTTTTTGCCCAGAAGGCATATGTTTGTCAGAGTGATATTGGGAGAAATCATAGAATGTCAGCTGCCTTATTTCTCAGTTGAGATGATATCACCAGTACACTTTAATGTGAAGCAATCAGCAAACATCTATTTCCTGCTACCGGAAGTTTGGGATTAAGGATACCATTTCAGTTGCTGTGTTGTGACACATTCCAGAGTTGAATGCAGGTCAAGGGCTGTGTAAGGTTTTGTAGTTTCAATTCAAAGCCAAACCTACATACAGTAATGTCCTTAAAAAAGAAGAGTAGGTAGGAATGTATTCATATGGACTTTTTTAAATTTCAGAAGTTTAAAAAATTACAAGATATTTAATCTCTTATAGAGAGAGTTTAGTTACAATTATTAATAGGTTTCTCTCTCCGGCACATGTAGCTGTCAATCATTCCTCTTCCTTATCAGAATTCTCCGAGAGCAATAAAAGGACTGTTAATTAAATTGTTTGCATTTATAACATTCCCCCAGGAGTCCCTATAGTTGTTCAAATATGAAAGCAGCTCCCAAATGGTAGAGGTCGTGCTGAATCTGATCATGTGGCTGAGTCAGATACCAGGCTCTGATGGAGAGAGAGAGACCTGCAGGTCTGTTTTGTAGCCATTGACCAGGCAGCTCCTATTTTAATTCAGTAACACCAGCTAAAAATCTTTACCCAGAGACCGAATCATGCCAACACTGGTGAGAAACTGACAGAGTAGCCATGGGCTGGCAAAGCCCTGCCATTCTGCATTCCCATCAAAGAGGCAGGACTGTGGTTTAGAGGCTTCTAGTGCTTCCGTCTCCCAGGAGAGCCCCCCACCCAGGCACTTACCTGAGCAGAGCCCAAGGAGCAGGAGGAGCGGCCTGGGCTCCATGGGTGCTGGGCACCAGCGCGGACTGATGGCCGGGAGGAGGCCTATGCTGCTCATAGGCACTGTCTGGCCGGAAGCCTGGCTATTAGAGGGTTTGGAAAGTGAGTCGGAGCTGTTGTTTCACACCACCTGTCTGTGGGAGTGACAGCTGGGCTGCTCAGAGCCCTGGAGCCCAGGGAGCTGCTGAGGGCCTGACGCTGGTACAGGGTGCCCCACTTCACACAGCTGCTCTGCCCTTGACAAGATGAGTGTGACCTGTGCTGTATTTTAAATGCCCCATGAGTCAGGTTTAATAAAAAAAAAAACTTACAGTAGGGAATGAGTTCTATTGAATGGTGAGCAACTCCAGCCCTTTTGGGTAAACTAGGACCTCATCTATGTGGATTGATTTGATCGGGGTCACTTGGTCTGAGTAGATAGTCAGCTGTTCATGTAAGACACTGATCACCCTAGATGAGAGTATAGGTCCACAGTGTACACACAGGACAGTTCATTTGTTCTGGTCTCTCCAGACTGAGAGTACCTGGGGCTTCGGTGACTGAGTGGATTCAAGGAGCATGTGGCTGGTGCTGCACCTGCTGTGGAGAGGTCCGTGTGCGATGGAGCAGATCCCACGGTGGGCGCAGGAAGGACGCACGGCCCACCTCCCATGGACTGACACTCAGGTGATGAATCATACAGGCAAGTGTCCACGGCGGAAGCAGTTGGTCCAGGTTTCCACGTTCTCCCATCCATTCCTTTGCCTACTCTCAGGGAGCAAAGAGTAGAGAGTGATGCAGCTTTTCAATTCCTTTGTTAAAGAAAAACCAACCCTAAAACCAACAGTCAGTAATTGCTCAGTCTGAGAAGTTTTTTTTGCCAAAAAGAGGAAGGAGGCAGTTATTTCAAGACACCTGCCTGTTACTTCTTGCTTCCCAAGTTGAATCAGATGAGGGTGCCCCCCCACCTCAAGTCCAGGGCAAGCATCCTAACAAGCCCCTCATTCCCATGAATCCAAACAAATAATTAGAGAAAGGGATTGGAGGGGAGAAGAGAGAGCTGCAAGTTCACATTATTTATATGGTTTCTGTTTAAATTGTAGGAGATTTATTTAAATGAAAAAAATTGGTTCCCTCCCTTCTATAGCAGAGCACCGTGACTGCCTAGCCAGGAAGCAGATCCCTCCACCCTGCGTCTTGCATCTAGATGGAGCCATGGGACTGATTTCTAGAAAATGAAATGTGAGGAAAAATTCTGAGACTTACAAACCTCTCATCAGAGCTCATCCATGCTCTTCCAATCTTCTGACTAGATGGAATGGGTATGACCCCCAGGGAAACTGTCACACCACATGCTGAAGGTAACTTCGCTCTTGACATCCTGGATACTTGAGTAACTTCAAGGAGGAGGGCACCCCATTGACCTGGTCACCAGCTCTATTTCATGAGTGAGAACAAAACTTTTATTGGGTTAAGGTACTGAAATTCTTGGGTTTATCTGTACAGCAGCTAGTGTTACCATTATTAATACAAAATTTATTGTCTTGCCTTGAGGTCTGTAGTTAAGAACAAACTCTAAAATATATAGCACTGCAGAGGAAGGCAAAAAGAATGGTATTGGAAGCTGAAAAGATAGAGGCCCACATTATTTAATAGCAAACTATTTAATAAGACTCTTGGCCTTGATGGCTTGGTGACTGAAGTGTCTATTGAACCTGTGGCTCCAGAAGTTGCAAAACCCAGTCAGTTCATGTTGGTAGTATTTGCTTTGCTTAGTGAGTCAGTACAAGGAAAAGTCAAGCTTAGGCAAGAGTTGTCTGGTTCAAGAGCAGAAATGAAAGGGAATAGAGTGAGTCCAGAAATTTGGGCCTTCCGCTTTGAACCCCAAAGGGTAAGTGATGCCATGGAAAAAAGGCTTTGAACAACAGCAGTCCTTTAAGACTTCTCATTGAACAGATACTTCGCACCACTGCAACAAAGATCAGTTTAAGGGTGCTTTCTTCACACTCCAACCTGTTTTTTCCCAGATGGCTTCAGGATGGTTGCCATTGAGTTGAAGGGGAGAAGCATAAGGGTTAGGATGCAAAGAAGAAAATGAGGCTGGAGAATTATGTCTAGTAAAGAATCCTGTGTGTGCATGCTGGCACATGAAAGTGACTGTAAACACGTGTTTCAGAAGCTTACTAAGTAGTTAAAGGAATTGTATTGGCAAAGAGTTCTTGAATACAGACCATGAAAACTTTGTTTAAGTCTTGAAACAGTCCTTGGGTGCCCAAACATGACAGAAAGCAGGCCGTGACATCTGCACAGACTCCCCAAAAGGGCACTCTCTCTACTGCCCATGTTAGACATGGCCATGGAGGTGAATGGGCAAGCAAGAATCTTGCAGGGGGCATAGCCAGGGACCGATAGACACGTGAGCTCCTCCCAGCAAACAAAAGTCAGGGTTCAACCAAGGAATTGTAGCAGACCCTCTCAGCGCCCACCAGTATTCTGTGAGCTTTCACCTCTTCTCTGAGAACTTTGCTTCCTGTCAACGCCTGCAACCCTCTGCCCCAAGGTTATTTTTTTCTGGCTATAGGAACACACGGGACAAGCTGAAAGTGCAAGAGAGCTACTGCCCCCAGACACAGCCTTCAGCCCCAGAAGGAGGACAAATACCCCAGTGTGCTCCCGCCTTGAACGGGGTCACTGAGGCACACTCTGTGCTGTGTCTGGGACTGAGTCCCTGTGGCCTGTGGTGGAAATGGCTTGACAATGATCCTTTTTCTGGCTTCCTTCTGTTGTCTGTCTCACTTTGCACCCTCTGCCGCCTCTCACATAAGCTTCTTACTGGGGTCTGCTTCTGGGGGAACTGAAGACAGAATTTCTTGCACTGTATGGGAGTGGGTCACAAAGGTGTAATTGGGTGCCTTTACCATATTTTTACCATCTTCCCAATTCTCTTCTATGGATTAACAGTTGAAACTGTAGGTTTAAAAAATTGTTAAAGCTGCTATTGTCCTCAGGAGCAAACTTCTTTTTCACTTAAATTTTATTATTCAATTGATCCAAATTTATTACATATAGACAAGTTAGAAAATAGATAAACAAAAAGAAAAATGTTTGCCATTAGGCTTCTACCAAGAAATATCCATGGTTACTGTGTTATTTTATATCTGTTCAGACCCTTTCCATGAATTTTATGTATTTATGTATGTATGTATCTTTCACTATATTAAATCCCTGCTTTATGTTACTGGAAATAAAAAGATTTACTCTAATTTTTAGGTTTTCAAGTATTAACCACTGCTAGGAAATACTCTTTTCAGGAGAAGAATGAATCAATCTTTTTTGTTTTAGCTTTATTGAGGTATAATTGACCAATAAAATTGTAAGGTATTTAAAATATACAATGTGATGATTCAATATGCATATACATTGTGGAAAGATTCTGCCCATGCATTCCTTTATGAGGATATTTTTCACTGGGCATTGCTATGTGCCAAGCAGCGTTCTAGGCATTTGGGATACATCAGTAAACAAAACAGACAAAAGATTTCTGTTCCTCAGGAAAAATGCATTCTAGCTAGAGAAAACAGAAAAACAGAAAATAACAAATATACATAGTTCACAAGTAAATTGTTTAGTATCTTCTCATGGAATGTTATGGAAAAAAGAAAACTGAAAGCAGGGTGGGGGCACCAGGACAGCTGGAGAGGAGATTGCAGCTGTCAACATGCTTCACTGAGGATGGGGCATTTGAGCAGAATTGAAAGAGGTGCAGATATTTGCATGATGATCCTTCAGGGCAGCTGAGCATTCCAGGCTGAGTCCTAAGGTGTGGGCCTGGTGTCCTCACAATGTCACAAGGAAGGCAGCCAGCCTGGGCAGAGTGTGTGATGGGGAGATGGCTAGGAGATGAGGTCGGAGGGTAGCGGGGAAGAAGGGACACAGCACTCCTTGTAGACTTTCACTCTGTGCAAGATGGGGAACCTCTGCAGGGTTTGAGCAGAGGAGTGACATGATCTGACATATATTGTAAAAGGACAGTTTTGGCTCCTGTGGTGACAAGAGGCTGTATGGGAAAGATGTTAGAGGCTACTGCAGTGACTCAGGCAGGAGAGCAGTTGCAAGAGGGTGATGAGAAGCAGTTGGATTTGGGAAATACCTTTTGACACCAGGGCTAAAAGGATTTCCTAAAGGATTGGATCTGGATGCAAAAGAAAGAGAGGATGATGATTAAAGATGATTTGCAGGGTTTTGGCTTGAGCATTAGGAAGCATTTAGGTGCCAACAAGTGGATTAAGAAGAGGCTGTGAATGAAGCAGGTTAAATGGAGTTGAAAATTGTGAGGTGTCTTAGCGACATGGTGAGTTTGAGATGTCGATTAGAAATCTGAGTAGCAGTTGGAGTATGGGTCAGGAGTTTAAGGGAGAGGTCTAGGCTAGGGTAGATGGTGCGTAAAGCCATGACTGGGTAAGGAATGCATATATGCAGAGAAGAGAAGAGAACTAACATGAAAATGTTGGGAAGAAGAGGAGGATGGGGCAAAACCTGACAAGACAGAAGCAATGAAGTGGGAGGAAATCCAGGAAAGGCGGGGTGCTGGAAGTCAGGTAGAGAGATCATGCAGAGAAGAGGATGTGCCCGGTGTTAATGCTGCTGACAGCCTGTGAGAGGAGGTGAGGACAGACTTGATTATGGAGCTTAGCAATATGGGAACCATTGGTGACCTTGACATGTACAAAACCCCACTGGAGTAGGTTTAGGAGGGGAGGCATTACAGCAGCTTTACTGCAAAGTGTAACAAAGAAATGAGGTGGTAACTGGTGGAGGGAATAAATAGAAGTCTTCGGTTTTCTGCCTTTTTCTGCCTTTTTTTTGGATGGGAAACATAACAGCATATTTGCATGATGATCATAATGATCCAGTAATGAATTTTTAAATGCTGATTATGTACTAGTGAGCTGGAAGAAAATACCCATAAAAATGTTTTCAAAAGTGAGATTTACCACATATAGTTTTCTATAACTTACAGAGCATATAACTAATATGTTTCTAGTTGAATAATGTGGCTCTGCATTTTCACTTTTAATAGTTGCAGAATATTCTATTTTTTGAGTGTATCATAGTTTGTTTAACCAACCCCATATCAC